GGAGGGAGCATCCCAGACAGACAGAGACGGGTATGGGGGTCAAGTGAAAGAGAGGGGGAGAGATCGGTAGAATCGGTAGATCGGACGTACATGTAGCTTTCGTCCGATCAGATCCATTCAGTTGGAATGCAAAAATCACACTTATTAATATGCAATTTCATTTCCATTAATTATATGTATAAACCGATAATGCAAATATTTTCGTCGTAAAACGAAAAACCTCTTTTTCCCCTTTTACCTATTTTTACAGGTAGTATGTATATATCGTATGTACGTAGTCAGGGGCATGCAAATTTCCGGCCGTGTAACCCTTGAATTTGAACTGATTGCGAAATTCTCAAATTACATACGATACCTAGTAGACCTTTAAAGGAAGTTTATGGGATATATTAGTTATAGGGGTAATAAATTATAAAAATATTTTTCCTGAAAAAGGGGTTTATGCTTAGATATATATTATTCTTATACATATTTTAAAAAATATCTAAAGAAAAGTATGTTTTGTATTAGATACTAAGATACTATCTACGAGATGGCTCAAATTCCTATTAAAATAAACAAAAGAATTTGATTAATTTTTCCCATAAAACCATATTGAAATCTTCCAATCTCCAGGTACTTTAAAGTCGATCTTCTAGCTTTTCTCCTCTCATTCCCTGCACTTGTAACTGCATCGCGTTCTGCTTTTGTTTCATTAATTTTAATTTATATTTGTTTTTTGTTCTTGACGATTTAATTTGCGTACAAAAGTGCATGCAATTTGTAAATGAGAGTGGACGAGTTCAAGGATTTTTCATCGCCACTTGTCCTGCAATGAACTATTCCACCCTTGGCTGCTCTTCTCAATTGCTCAGAAATACATACAATATCCGAGTGTTTATTCGAAAACCCCCTACTCCAGTATACGATCGATCCAATGTGCACGTTTTGAGGTTTTCGATGTCGATGTTATTTGATTTATAGTTCGTTTCTCGCACAAAAACCGACACGTGTGCGCCTCTAAATTGATTAATTCCATATTAAAGTTTCTAATTTGAAAATCTGTGATGAACGATTTTTGGCGCGCGCCGAAAAAAAACAAGTGGTGCCGAATAAACAGGAATAAAGCAAAACGGCCAAATAAACACATAAAATACAAAAAAGAAATATAAAATTCAATAGGAATAGCCGCTATATTAATAAGCAATAATTGTTCAAGGTCAACAAAAATATTGGTTCTACGAACAGGTGGATATATATATTATGACACAAAATGAGCTTGCATTTCTGCAAGTGCGAAATTCGCCAAAGGAATAACATCAACAACAACCAACGACGAAAAATGCCATTAAAAAGTTAATGGGAAATTTAGCTTAGGTAATTTGCCAAGTTTATACTGGAAATGGGGTTTACTGGGCTGAGAGGTGCGTAATAAGGGATGAGTAAGCCCAAAGATGGCGTCGATAAGTTATTAAGAACTAGTTATCGATTTCAAATCTCAAAAGAGATTTTAAGCGTTGTGTCGTTTCTTTTAAAATCATTTTATTATTTTCCAGACCACCATATTTATATAAATTTTGTTTTCTTCATCATTTTTAAAAGTCTCCCGATTCCTAGAAGCTTTTTCCGTGATGTAATATGATGCTTAAAGATTTTATTGCAGTCAGCACCTTTTTTTTCTAAATGCGCACTATTTGAATAGTATTCCCTGTATCTCCCTATGGCTTCTAGTCTCGAAAACAAAAACTATTTTTGAAATTTTGTTTTGGTTTACCATACAATGTTGTTCTGCGCTGCGATTGTGGTTCTCGGCAATAGATGTCCGAGCATGATCAAATTTTGCTCGGCAACGGCGGCCAGTCGTTATTTGATCGCAACCAGAAACGAGTATCAGAGGCGGCGGAGATGTCGGGAAGGGGAAGGGTTAGTGGGCGGAGGGGAGTGGGAAGTGGGCTGGCCAAGGTCAGCGCGTCTCTCGGTTGCTCGCGCTGAATAATTAAGTGCGAAATAAATTAATTTCGGTAGAACTTTTTAGCATGCGTTGCGTGGCATTATAGTCAACAAAACAGAGTCGCGTCAATAGCGAAATATGAACAAAAATGTATATATGAATGTATGTATTTATCAGGCAGTTTAACCATCTCGAATGGCAAACAAGAAATTATGGTTCCTAATAGACGGGCAAGGTCAAATCGAAGATGATTTAAGGTAAAAAGTGCGTGGGCGAGGCTGGGCAGTCAAGCAGTTTGGCAAGCAGTGCAGAGTCTCAGCGATAATAGACCGTTAACAAGACTAATGGACTTCAGTGTTAGATTTTTTAAAACTTAAAAAAAAAAAGCTAAGAGCCGCTTTGGTAGAAATGGTGTTTGCCACAAAAGTGGGAGGGTTAACTGGTAGACGGGTAGCCTACCCGCCGAGTGGGGCACATAAATAGTTTTTGCCGTGAAAGTTGCGGAGCGAAAGTGAAAACTCATTTGTGGCGGCTGAAAAAAGTTGCGCCGGCGCCGAAGACATGAAAACCCACTGACATCAATTCGGTTGATGCAAATCAGAAAATAAAAAGTACCCTGCAAGTATCCAAATGTTTGAGCAACTGGAGTTTAAGCCTTTAAAGTCACAGCAATTAAATTATTGTACAGCTAAAACAAATTATATTTATTTGCATTTATTTGCCATAACAAAAGCGCACAAATACGCCGCTGCAGAAAATACAAAAAAATGTATTAACAAATGTATAAAACAAAACCCGAACGACCTTGAATATCTGGCCGGCAAGCAAAACAGGCAAAATAGGAACATTAAAAAAGTTAAAAAATTAAAAAAATATAAATTAACTGAAATGCAATTAAAGCCACAAAAACAGATATAAATAAATATAAATAGAGACAGGGTACATATGTGCGAGCAACTGTTTTTTTGTGTTTAGAACTTCAACTTCCAATTATTTATAAAGACCAGTTAAACAAATAAAAAGCAACCAAAATTTGGATAAAAAGATTCAGCTTGTCGTTTTTTCAAAATACATTAAAAAAGTAATATGAAAGTGATTAGTTTATTCTTAATTTTTTACTGAATAGGAATTATAAGGGTAAGTATTTATTTTTGTTTTAAAAAGATAGCTTTGTTAAAATTGTAATTATTTAGCAAAGTTTTGTATAAGAAATATGTCTATATTTTAAATCTTATTTAACTAAGTGATCCCTAAAATCTCTTTTAATCTAGACTTAACGAATTTTAAGTTCACTTTTCATTCTATAGATAGATTTGTATCTGAATTGGGAATTGTATCTATATCTGCTTGCATTATTCATTGCTGACGTGCAACTTGGCTACTTGGCACGGCGGCGGCAGCTGCCCCTTTTTGGGTCAGCACAGCTCAGCCGCGTGCCCGGCTTCAATTCGCATTGATCCGCCCCAAGCTCCATGCAATGTGCACTTGGCCATGCAACGCCGGCATGGAAGAGCGCAAAAAAAAAGCCGAAGCCCAAGAGCGAAGAATCGCGCCAAAATGGCACATGGCAAAAACTTTCAGGCCGATGAGACTAAAAACTTGAGAGTATTATCAGAAACTACAAATTAAAAAAAAACCAAAGAGTACTTTAGTGAATTAAGAGAAAATTGTTTTGTTAAAAGAGCACTGCTACGAAGAAACGTTGAAAAAGCTTTTTTTCGTATCAAAATTCTCTGTTTTATTTCATGGTGGAATTGAAAATTCGAAATATTTAAGAGTAAGCTCGAAGAAAAATCCGTTAAAAAAGCTTATGCTTACAGACAATTATTTGGATAATTGGCAAACATTAGTGAGACTAACTAAATGTTGGTTTAAAAAAAATAAAAAAAGATTTAAAAAGATTGCCAATATTTGACTTTAAAAAAGATATGCCAAATCATATAAACCTCTCGCAATTTTTTGATAAGTTTACAATTTAAAAAACCAGTGACGAAGCTAACGATGGTAAAAACCCTCCTTATCACGGGAGAAAGAATATAGATTTATTTCCCATCATAGCCTTGAACTTGAGTGTTGTCCATGGATAACCCCACGCAGTCATTGACAGACATCCTGATACCCTTTATCGCCTTGCCTGTTATCAAGTTTCGCCGGCGTATACAATATTGTATCTCACAGATACGTTTTCTTTTGTTTCTCCGCAATAAACTGTACTTCGTTCTGTGAATTGGTTGCCACCCCCTAGCCGACACCCGAAAAAAACCCATCGAGTTCTCCGATAGCGGCGGCAATCGACGACCTTGACCGTGAAATTTAAATTTAGAAGCAACGGCGGCGACTAAGACGTAAAAAATAAAATACCAAAGAGCTTTCCGCCGTAAGGATGTGTTTGTGTGCTATCTTCGCATGGGTATTAGTCATTGTGTGTATTAGTAATTGCAAAAAATAAAAAGCTGCGCTCTATCACAGGTAATTCTTCTCATCCCCTCCGGCTGGGGGCTGTCAATGGAAGAGATTTTGAAGAAATTCATCCATTTCACGGGTCTGCCGCATGTGACTTATGTAAATATTTGTGTACACTGCATACAGCGATACCTATTTTTAAAAATCACCGTAGACGCCGGGCGATTTGATTTAATTGAAACTTGAACTTGCGTGCTGGCGCCGTCGGGACTTGCTACAATGATGCAAGACAGTCTAATTATGTGAAATTAAGCGCAATGCCAATTGGTGCGGGGTGATTTTAGCTAATTTCACTCTAAAAATAAAATCTTTTTCGTTTATGCTGGCTTGTGTATATGGCTTGAATTTACCGCCAAGAAAAAGTGTTGGATAATACTTTTATGTTGGTATATTTTGTTTTTGTGTTTGGGAATTAAATATCGATAGAAAATTGGCAATTTTGCTTAAATTAAACAAGCTTTCGTAAATTTATAGTTTTTATAATTGTTTAAAACCCATAATAACCCTCATTTTTATTTAAATATAAATGTTTTTCCAATTGACAGCTTTGATTTTTAAAAATCCCGCTCTGCCTATCGATAACTACCAGCTGATATGCCCGGCTTTTGTTTATACCTGGACCACGTGCAGTAGTTTTTTGTTTATCACAAATAGTTCCAAGTTTATATGTGATAATGGTGGCTGAGCAGTTCAGTGAATATTATATATGCAATTTTAGCGATGCTGTTTCGGTGGAAGGTGAGGATATTATGAAATAATAGCTATAATCCGAAATATTTAATGAATTAAAACCACAGATCTGCCAGCCGATGAGCAACTTCGGCAATTGTGGATTCGCCAAGAACTGTGGACTGTTCCAGAACTTCGGGAGATTCTTCAACGATGGCGAAATAGCAGCAAATCAGATTTAAAAGATAACCCTGCACCGCTCTTGAACGATTTCCTACGATTAGTTTTCGTTTTTGTTCAAAATAACTTTACTGGACCTTTTGATAAAATCGAAGAATGCAAAGCATTGCTGGAGGAGCTGGAGTTTAAGGATCTGGAAGCGCAAGAGAAGCTGAAAGCCAGTGGCGAAGAATTAAATCCAAATGTTAAAACAGAGGAACTATTGCTGGTGGCCAGGGAAATCCTCCAGAATTTGTTGGAGGTCTATCCAGATTCAAAGGTAATCGATGACACATATTCTATATTTTATAAACTAATAAGTATTCTTATTCATAGGTCCTTAATTGGTGGCACTTACGTTTAATCCTACTGCACCAACATATCCTGGATGACCTGGCGGCGGAGCTCTATGAGAAATACAAAGCAGTGGCCGTAGTTCTCCAGGCTAACTTCAACCAATTTGAGAGCAAGGAACTGCAAGCCCTGCTTTTGCTTGAGCTGGCCAATGGCTATCTGCAGTTCCATCGCTCCGAAGTGGCTTCGAAGATCTTAGATGACTTGTGCTCGTACTTACAGGTGGAGCTGAAAGTTGAAGGTTTACTGGGAGTTCGCACCAAATTTCAGCAGAAAGCTCTGCCACAACTTTGCCTAAAGGTGGAGCAACAAAATCCACAGACTCTGCTGCCGGCCATCCAGACCAATGAGAAAACCAAGCTGCCCAAACTGCTGCTTCTAGAGGATGATACTCGACTGGAGAGGATTCGCTTTATAGAGGTCAAGGATAACGAAGTAATGACGTTACCCAGTGTGCTCCAAGCTCTGGTACTTGCCAAAGTGTGAGTATTTCTTTAAAAAGATTCCCAAGAAATGATTCTCAATCTTTCACTATCTATCCCAGGAAACAACTGAAGCGTTCACAGCCCAAAGACCGGCTGGCAGATGAGCAACTGGAACCATATACCCAGACCCTTTTATACCAAGAGCATGGACCCTTCCAAGTTCGACAGGCAGCTCTTCTTTTAAACTGTGTGCAGGAGTCGGGCCAGCGAAGGACTGTGGAGCGAAGCTGGAAACAGTGCGAGGATTGCGTCAAGTTTCTGGATAACTCGGAGGAGGTTCTATCCCTCAAATCCCGGCTCTCCTACGGCTTTGCCGCTCACCTGCAGACCAAGTGGCAGGTGCAGTTGCAGCTCGTAGACCTCTTGCGTTCCCTGGGAATGACCAAGACTGCCCTGGACATCTGCCTGCGCATTCACGCCTGGCAGCAGGTCATCGAGTGCTACACAAGTCTGGAGCTGCGACACAAAGCGGCCGAGATCATCCGCCAGGAGCTGGACAAGAAACCCACAGCCCTGCTTTATTGCCTCCTGGGCGATGCCGTCGATGATCCCAAGTGCTACGAACAGGCCTGGCTGTATTCCAAGAAGACGAGCGGAAAGGCTCAGGCCTATTGGGGAAACTATTTCTACAGAAGCGCCGATTACACGCAGGCTATGGAACACTACGAGGTGTCCTTAGAGATCAACACGCTGCAGGAACCGATCCTGTTGCGCTGCGGCTATTGCGCCATCCAGCTGGAGCGCTGGGAGTCTGCTGTTAAGTGGTACCTGGCCTACACCCACCTGGAGCCCAATGGTTTCGAGTCCTGGAACAATTTGGCCAAGGCCCTGATCAAACTGGGAGACAAGCAGCGAGCCCATCGAGTCCTGGGTGAAGCCCTAAAGTGCAACTACAGTAACTGGAAGGTGTGGGAGAACTATATGCTAGTTTCCGTGGACACATCGCACTGGGAAGATGCTATGCGCGGATACCAACGTCTGGCTGAGCTGAAACAGCACTACCTCGACCAGGAGGTTCTCACCCGTATAGTGTATGGCATTTCAAAGGAGAACCCGGAAGGTTCAGGTCCACTGATCAAGCGGGTGGTCAAGTTACTAGCCCAACAGTGCATCCAGCACGGCAATGAGCCACTGGTCTGGGAACTTGCTGCTATAGTGGCATCCACACCTCTGAAAAAAGCCGAGAAACTTGTGAAATCCTACCGTGCCTACACCCCGAAGCACTTGGGCTGGGAAACTAAATCAGAGCATGCCCAGAAGGCTCTTGATCTTTGTATAGAGGTGGCCGACTTATCAGTGGCAGCTATTAAGGAGCACAATGAGGAAGAAAGTGAGGTGATGATCACATCCCAACTGAACTCGGCCAGGTTGGCGGGAACCTCCTGCCTGAATGCATTGAAAAGAGCAATTAATGTGGATGTTCCTGCGGAGCAGACGACGAAAGTAGAGGAGCTGGAAAAACGGATAGCAGATCTGACTCTGGTGGTCCAAGAGCGGATGAGTGCGCCTCGATCCTAGATACTATCCTGTGAGCTTCAAGAAATCTAAAAAATATAAGCTACTTTCTAATAAAGTATAACTTTGATAATTTTTAATGGACTATTACTAACTTTTTATTGTGGAAACTATTTTTAAAAGGAAAACCTCTCATAGAATATTTTTGCGGCTTCGGAACAAACATATTCACAATTTCAAATGGCATAAAAATATAAATTCATGCTTTTCAGCTCAAGGTGCTTCGGTTCAGTGATCTTTCTATTTCCTAATATGTGTTTAGCTTGGTGGTGATCAGCACACGGACATTCTGATCAAAGGCACCGCAGACAGCCAGGCCAAGTTTATCCGGATGCCAGTCGAAGCAGTGGACGGGTTGGGTACTCAACGTGGCGGCACTGACCATGTGCATAATGCCACCTACTCCAATCTTGTTGCCATCGGAGTCATCGATGGCCCTTCTATCGGGATACTCATAATTCCACAAGCGAATCGAGCCAGTTCCGCCACCGGTGAGGAAGAGATCCCTGTTCTGAGGCAGATGGCGCACCACCCAAACAGTAGCCTTAGGGCCACTGATCACGCCATTAGTGCCCACGCTCCGTCCTGCGTTTCGCTCCTCAACGTAGCTGAAGCCCTTTGTGGGGTGTTGGGTGCGCATATCGTAGACGAGGAGACCCCCTTCCAAAGTGGTAACCGCTAGCTTGTTCATGGGAATGTCTCGTCGATCGAACTCCAGGCCGCAGATTCCGTTCTTCATAGTGGCCTCCCAACGTACCGATAGGGACCTCAAGTCGAAGAGCTTCAGGTCTCCATTGTCGTACCCGGCAGCCACAATCCGCTCCTCGGAATTGTAGGTGTTTCCAAAGGCCACAGCCCAGCAATCGCGACGGGAGCCGGTATTGTTGGGCCCATCACCCATTTGTGGCGGAGGCGACATGTCCACCACAGGTGCCTGACCCTGTCGGATGTCCCAGACTTTGACGGCACCATCCCTACTTCCCGTGACGATCTCCGGAGCACCGCAGTCTATCTGTGTGCCTCCTATAGCGTCGATGGTGTTTATAATGCCATTGTGAGCTTTCACATTGTAAACCGGAAGATCTGGCTGCTCCAGGTCTCTAGAAATTCAATAAGTTAGGGATATTTATGAGATTTGAAGAGCCATCTTACTTACAGAACTTGCAGCCTTCCCTCGAAGTCACCGATGGCCATGTGGCGGTTACGCAGTGAAGAGCCTCCGAATGTCCCGCACTTGAAGGCCACCTTTTTCTCCACGGACTTGATCTTAACCACCTTGTCCTCGTTAAGCTCGTAGATGTCTAGAATCCCGTGGCTGTTGGCTTTGGACCCCAACACCACAAACTTGGCCGAGAGCGGCAACCACTTGGTGTCGTACACCGTGTAGTTAACCGGTTCGTGGATGTGCTCGATCAGTTGGGGTTTGTCCATTTTCCTGGTCTATCCTTACGTCAGTTTACAGGCTGTCAGACATGCGGCGGCAGGTGGAAATAAAACGAATTTTTACAAACAACTTTTGGATTGGTTGTCATAGCGCCCGGCATGTTATGGTTATCGGTTATCGGTTATTGAAAATAAATAATCTACTTTTGTAAATAAATATAAATTTTAATATAATAAGGATATGCAAAATGTATGTTTTTTATTTTAAAACTAGATAGTAACTTTTTATTTAAAAAAGGATTTGAAAAATGAAGTTTAAAAAATTTTTGTATAAAAATACCAAAACTTGCTGATGGCCGATACGTTCAGGTTGGGATTTGCCACCGTTATAAATATTCAGCAAGAAAATTATATTTCCAGAAATATTCATAAATGTTAAAGATCTTTGAGATAAGTTTAAATGAAAGAACTTGAACTTAAACTTTCCATAATCAAATTAAATTTATGTAATTAATTGATATACAATTTTAAAAATATAGCTATTTTAGCATTCCTTAAAGTTTATCGATAGCTTCCAGCTGAGCGGCGATGAAAGCTTTTTAAACGAAAAAGCCAAAAAAAGCCCCTTGTCGGCAGTGGGTTTTTAGTCTTATTGGGTCAGCTGAACGTTTTCCACTTGGAAAACTTGGGAGGCGGTTCTCCAATTATTTCGTTTTGGCGCGAGCATCTTTTTTTGGCGTTCGACCCCTACGGCAGCTCCACACGACAACAACAAACAGCACGCTAGCCATAGCAATAACAAGAAACACACTTCAAAAACAAACGTTTTGTGTCGCAAGAGTCGCTGCTTTTTGTGGTATTTAACAACTGCAGCATCGAATTGGTTAAATAATCAAAAAAAATAAATATAATAACGGTATTTCTGACCCAGCACGCCATTCGCAAATAGTTATGAATATATTTTAGCATCAATTTGCGGGCTTTTAATAATTTTATAGACGTGAAAAGAGTGACTGCGGCTCAATCAATTGTCGATGCATGCGCCAGAAAAGTGTTAATCAAATTTTTTACTGGCAACAAGTGATTCAACAATAATAATAAACCAACAATACCAACAACGGTCGAACAACAGGCGCTATCAAAAGTTGAAGGTGACAACAATCGGCAACGCGAATCGCAACAACAAACAACACCATCGAGTACTTGTCTAGCTGCCAACACAATTTTTATTTAGTTTTCTTAAGGTAAATGCCACCGAGATTCTTTTATTCTTAAAGACCATTCTTTTTTTTTGAATTCTTTGCGTACAAATATATATGGGTGTATGTATATTTTTTTGCTCATTGCCCGACATTTCTTCCGTTTGCTTTTATTCGACTTCTCATCAATTTGGGACAATCAAATTAATTGTATATTTTTTCAGCTTTTTCATTGCCTTTATTGTTTTTATTTGCTTTCACTGCCCAAAAATCCCCCGCCCACAATCCCCAATTCCTACATGGGCTGTCTGCGTGCATTTGCACTTGACTCACAGTCATCAGGGTATATTATATATGTACCTACAATCTAGTATATATGTTCATGGGTGCTCTTGATTTTGTGGCCAAATGTTCATGGCACTCTTCCGTTTTGCCGATTTTTTCCCAACCTGTCACGTACAAAGGGAATACCCTCATTATTTTGTTCAAGTGATAAGCTTTAATATATAAAAGCAATATTTTATGACTTACTATTCAGTTTTGAAGTTGCATAAACCTTTTTTGGTTGGAAAACCAATCATCATTCTTAATTTATCATTTATATAAACGTTTAAAAAAGTCATAAAATACGAAATAATCAATCCGTCATTTAAGGTTAGTCGCCAACTGATTATTTTCCGCATTATCAGTCATACGTGGGGTTGTAAAATTCAGCAATAATCTGGCAATGAACACCAAACGTTAAACTCTCGAATTTCGCACCTGTTTTGGGTCAATACAGAGTTACTTTCATAAGCTTACCGGCTTAGTCCGAGACCTGTTACATTTTGCAACTATTATAAAAGAAATCATTAAAATGCAATTGCGATGAGATAAGCTTCCGGATGTAACACATGCTCTGGATTATGGCATTTTCTATGAATTTCTTTTCCATTTTTTCCTTGGAAACTGAAAGATTTCTTTAATAATTTGCAGCCTCTGGATATACATAGTTTTCGAATAAAATGGATATTTTCATCAATTGAATGATGTTCCCAATTGATTTGAATTTGTTGTTTTTTTGCTGCCACTGCGTTGTCAGAAGTTTGTGCGTGCGCACAGAATGGGGAAATTGAAAATGTTGCAGCCCTCCCGGTTGCCCATTTTACCTCCCCCCTGCCCCTGGCCCCACTTATCAGCCGGCTGTGCCACAGAAAATAAATAAATGCCCCACAATCGAAATCTAAACAAAGAGATATAAAAAATCTGCCAACTGCCGCACCATAACTTCCACCAAAGCTAAACAAGGGAAACTCAAAGTGCAAACTCAATAATGCAATTCATATCTAAAAGGAAGCTAACAAAAAATAGCTGGTGGAAAAAAACATAATAGGGAATTGTTTGCAGGTTTTTTGCTTCGATCGATGATAAGACCACAGCCGTTGTTAATCCACTGATAAGACCGCGCCCTTTGACCCACAAACGCAACCCCTAAAGCAAATACTTTCGAGCCAAAATAAACTTTAAGGGGATGATTTGAGGACAGTGTCCCAGTTTGTGGAGTGCCTATGGATATTACTTAATACATATATTATTATCTGAAAGTTCATTGAAACTGAGTCACTACTGTTTTTAGAAGACTACTCAGACTGTTTAAATAAGAGTCTCTACAACTACTTCCCACAATAATCTGTGTATTTCAATTAAACTCCCAGTTTATAAATATTAAGAGAATCTCTGTTTGGCTTGGTGATTATTTTGGATAATATTCCAGTTTATAAAAAGTAGCTGGCGTGCTCCATAAATTTTTCTGCAAAGCTAGACAAATATTTTTCCAAGAAATCAACTCGTTTATGTACTTCAGTGTCAGTCTTATCAGATGAAGCTGACAGCATTCAGCTTGAATAAAGGAAGACAAAGTCCCGAGATTTGATTCCATTTCGGAATGTTTTTCAGTTTCCTTCATTAACCGGAACAAAGAAGTCGCTCCCAGAGTCTGGGTCAAGTGCAGTTCCAGTGAAGTCACAGTCAGTCAATCAACATCATGATTGAAGTATGTAGAACTACGAAACCACCATCCACCACTCACAACCTTTCATTGCCGGCGTTATCTATGACGTTTGCCTCCAACACTTGCGCAATCAATAATTTGATATCGAAAACGCGGCATATGGTAGCAAAAAAATAAAGTAGAAAAGTAGCTCAGTTCGCAGGTGATAAGAATAAGGTCACCCTGCCACACCTGTACGAAGATGCCACATCTTGACAGATATTACATTCCTGAGCTTGAGTAACAAGGAGTCATAGTTCGAATAAGCCCTTAACCTTCAGAAAAAAGTTAACACAATTTCCGTTAACAGCTTAAAAGGCTTCTGTTTTAAATCTTTAAAATATAATGATAAAAACATTAGTCACTGGTACAACTAAGTACAACCTCTGGCAAGTGTCAAATGACTTAACATTTTAAAAAATTCAAGGGATTACATATAAAGTAGTCTTAACATAATAAATTTAGAATGTGAAACCCATTTTTTGCCACTTTGAAATGGCAGTTTTGTCTCCGTGTCGAGGCTAAAACATTGTTTAATGAGTGCTGATGGCAGTACTCGTGCTACTGATAAGCAGACTGGGAATTTTCGATAAGAAATTGTAGCTTTAACATTTCTACAAATATGTGTATTAATATAAATACATATATTAATTCGAACAGCTGTCTGACTATCAAACTTTTACTCTGCCCTTCCGTTCACCCTATTTTTTGGCCTAATCTGACTTTGGTCATGTGACGTTTCAGGGTCATTGCATAAGCCCTGTTTGGTTTTGGCCCAATTGCGGGATCCCAGTTTTTTTTTGCACTCCGTTTCCACAGTAATAACCGGTTTGCTGGTAGAACTAATGAGTTCCCAACGCAGGGGCATCACAATTAAACCGGATTTCAAGTATTTGTTCCATATATATTATAGGCTAATTTTGTTTTATGGACAAATACGATTTAATCATGGCTTTTCAAAAGCAAAATAAAATTTGTACAACATTCAGCTTATTTTATTCTTTATTTGACCAACCCGATCCAGTTCACATACTATAATTAAAATGCAAATGCGGTCTATTTAGTTGATCTCCAAAGGGGTCAGAATTCAGTTGATCCCTTGATTGATTTTAGACTTTTAGACTGGACTTTCCATACTGATTTTCCTCAGTTTACTGAGTCACCTTGCAAGGCATTGAACTTGACATTGACGCACTCTCTAAACATGTTTCGGCTGATTGGGGAATTACGTATTATATGTATATACTCTCATTATATATATTCGTAGCAGACGAGTATGATGCAAGTGACGTCGCCAAACGCAGCTTTCAAAATATATTTTTAGAGTTATTTGTTGTTTCGACTGAGTTTTGGCCGTATGCGGAATCCGGTTTTATTGAAGTTGCTTACTTTTGTTTATGGAGTACCATTTTATGGTCACTTAGCGGGGATTGTGTCAGTTGGTAACGGTTGCAATTTTGGAATACGACTATGTTAAAACCAGACGTGTTTCACATTTTCTACAAATTGTAAGAGTACGAGGAGTTATCAGACAAAGGTAGTATTTTTTAAGCCTTTTATTCTCCCTGTATTGACACTTGGAATATTTGCTCGTTAGCTTATAGTTTCTAGGCCCAGACAAAGGCCATAAAAGTTATCTGCCATGAACCGATTATTAAAGATGATTATTGTTATCCCAGTAATAACCACAGAAAGATACCCCTTCGAACACTTAGCAAGTCGCTTTCGCTGACCAGTAATTGATGATGAACATCTTCTAGGAAATACGTCAATTGCAGACACTTGTCAACACTGCGTATGCGCAATCGAAACAGATACCGATTAGCTGAGTTTGAGGCTCTCCATGGAAGTCTATTATATTATTTATAAAGGTTTTGCGGTCGCCCTCAGCACACTTGTTGATCTAATAATTTAGCCAATTAGC